CAGCTTTGTGTCTTTTTCATTGTAGCTGAAGTCCGGGACAAACTGTTCCTTTTCACCTCAATACGAAACGCGTCATATTTTCTCTGAATACGAGACGATTCCGTTTTTTACAGGACGGTTGGCAACTCTAATAATTAACCTTATGAACAAAATAAAGTTCAACATCAGTAACATAGCACCACCCAGCTGTATAGAAACTCCATCATGCTAGCTAGTACCCAGCACGAAAAAGTCAGCATAACGAAAATAAACTCCACCTAAACTTGGTTCATATCTGACTCAGATGGACTGCAGGTCATAACTTCTTAACTGAAGTTCAGTTCACCTGACACTCGGACTAGCAGCCGCTTCGGGTCTCTCCTCTTGCCTCCCTTTTCCTTCATCCACCTGCTGGCCTCCACCACTTGCTAATGTTATTGAATCTGTGGAAGCTCCGTGATAGCCACCACACGAAGTAACGAATAACGAGCCTATCTAAATCCCAGTAACGAGTAACACGTTCCCGGTTTTGGCATAATAACTAGTTACTGTGCTCGTTACCACAATAATAACGTAGTTACTGTAATGTGTTACTTAATAATGCGTTAGTCCCAACACTGGTGGCCTGTTGATTGAATTTTGTGTTAGATTATGATATATTGTTTAACAATTATTCTCTTTTAAGCAATGTGTGTCCCAATATAAAGATGTGAAAGCAGTATTATGTTTACATCATAGTTAAATAATAATAATAAAAAAATATTAATATTTTTCCAAAATAATTGTGATTATCATTTTGATCCTACTTGTGCAGACCTAGTTTGCAATGTTAAAAACAAAATTATTTTAGTTCAAATTAATTTATTTTCAAACAGGCAAAGCAAAGATGAATCCAGTGCCTTAAAATTGCAGTTTGTCTGAACACAGGCAGATGGCGCTAATTGTGATCTACTGCCTGGACTAATGGACTAATCTTTTCCAATCCCATGAGCCCCTTTGCAGCCGAAAGGACTTAAAGTATTGAAGATACAGGCAGTGTTGGGAAGGTTACTTTTAAAATGTATTCCATTACAGAATACAGAATACATGCCCCAAAATGTATTCTGTAACGTATTCCGTTACGTTACTCAATGACAGTAACGTATTCTGAATACTTTGGATTACTTAATATATTATCGTGCTTTTTACAACAACGTGAATGTACTATTGCTGTGTGATTTATTACTATTACTGAAGGTCCGCGACTCCGAACTGTAGTAAAGGGACCTCTGACTAATATGGCGGGGTCCCTGTCGGCTCGTAGCCGAAAAATAGCTTTACTTTGTTGTGTGGGTCAACTTTTCTTGCGAGAGACAGAGAGAGGCGTTGAAAGGCTGCTCCAACGGAACTTATTGTTTTCGGAGGAAAACACGAACACGGTGTACAGTCGAGTCTTAATAGCTTACTTACAACTGGGCTCGTCAGGCACTCTTATTGGCTGAAGTGGTTATTATTATATTTACATGCTTCCAGCTCCCGTTTTTCCTCGACGACAACTCGTACCTTTCCACTCTCCTTTTTCTCCCTCCTCGCGCTCACAGACACATAACGTGTATGGCAGTCCATTCTCCCAGCAGCACGGACTACACTGCCCATGATGCTACATTCTTTAGAGCTATGCTTGTAGCATTCTGCCTGTTAGCTTAGCACAACAACAACAACGAAAAGGCGCTCTCTCACCCAGGAAACACACAGTCGCAGAAAGAGAGAGAGAGCGTCGCCCTGTAACCATGGCAACCGTAACGCTGCCACCTGGAACGAAAGAACGTAGCTGTCAAACAAAACCCAAACAGTCCTGACCCGCGACAATATGAAACAGGAAAGTACCGCAGTGTAATCCATTTATTTCAACAAAGTAACTGTATTCTGAATACCACCTTTTTAAACGGTAACTGTAACGGAATACAGTTACTCATATTTTGTATTTTAAATACGTAACGGCGGTACATGTATTCCGTTACTCCCCAACACTGGATACAGGCGATAAACTGTCAAAATGTGATTTCCAGTGTTTCTGTATTGTTTGTTTTTTCATGTGTAATATCTCTGCTTATATTGGTAAACAGATTGTAGTCAAAGGGTTTACAAAGGGCTTATATATAAAATAAAAAAAATAATTTCTGTTGCAATCCTTATTATTCCATGATATTGTATCTAAATTTTATTCAATTCAGTCTTTTCATGGCCACTATCGTTATTAGGGCTGGGTATTGTCACTGATTTCTAGAATCAATTCGATCCACGATTCGATTCGATTTGAATCGGGGACATTTTGCCTCAGTCAGAAATATTGTAATTCAGATCATTTATCAGTACATTTCCATATTTTTATATCTATAAAAAGAAAGCTGACACTTGCGAGACTTTATCAAAGGTGTGAGCATCACAGCAGATGCTTTTGTGTCAAAGTAGCTGAGGATAAAACAGAAAAACATGAAGGTAATTTTCCTTTCCTGGGATTTTATAAAAATATTCTGCAGTAGATAAAAAATGAAAGAAAACCATTAATCAACATATGAACATTACCTGATGCTGCTGAAGTGAAGCAGAGCAAAGTTACAGAGGTTTTATTAGAGACACAGCCACGCTTTTTGCAATTTTGCATAATTTTAAAAAGTTTAAATTTGTTCAGTAGCTTATTAAACAGCGGAAATGAGGCTTTCTTTTCGAAAGTACTTAAAAGGAAAAAGAACAGTGGCCGACAGCGCTGTAAACAACGGTAGACTTGTGCGCAAGTGAATAATGAAGAAAACAGATTTTTAGATTGGGAAACTGTTCTTGAAGTACACTGGGGGAGAGAGAGAGAGAGAGCTGTGCATGAAGTGTGATTTTATCATGGTGGAAGTAAAACAGGAAAAGTAAGAGGGAATTCATGACGATGTTTATCAAATGTGAAGCGTAGTTTGCTGCTTCATTTGCTGCTGTTTCATTGAATTTTGGTTGGAGAGAGATAAAACCTGCAGCTCAGAATCTAGCGCAAAAAATACACAAACACAAAGCGCAGACCTGCTGAAACATCAGAATCAGTGAGCTGTCGGCTTTCAGCCCCGACGACATGCTCGTGCCGTCGGGTGAGAAAGGCGACATCTCACTGATTCTGATGCGTCGGCGGGTCCGCGCTTTGTGTTTTTGTGCAGAATCCGCGTACCTGCTCTCATTTACTGTTTTAGCTGTTTGGTGGTTGTTGACATTTTGTGAGGTTTAACCTGAGATTCTGGCTTTTCAGGCAAATTAAATTTATATTAAAAAATCGGTTCAGGATTTTAATGAATCAATATCACGTTATCCATGCTAGAATCGATTTTAATCGATAAATCGATAATCAAAACCCACCCCTGATCATTATGCTGCTGCTATATTATTCTTATTTCAATTTCTGCTGCCCTCTTGGCCAGCTCACTCTTCAAAAACAAAAAACTAAAAAACAATTCTAATGTAAATGAGACTGTTCAACCAAATAAATAAAGGACATCTAAATGTCAACAAGTCATTTACAACAGCTTAAATTTTTTTGGCAAATACTGAAAATTCCTTTTTGGCAATTACACCGAAAGCTTCAACTGAGAGATGGAGGATGGACTTTTTTACAGATGCAAAGGAAACATTTTTTAAAAGAAAGCCATTTTTCATGTTAATTTTATACATGTTCGGTCATATCTAAGATGTGAGTCAGGACATAACAGATTTTATATGACTGATATGTCCATTTATGAAGTTTAACTATTTAGATGTTAAAGATTTTGCCTTTGCTAATTAACCAACTGTAATGTGTATTTCTGTGTATTAACAGATGTATATCTATACAAACGCAAAGTTTTTTGCATTTGCTGTTGTTGGTGTGCTGTTCATCATGTTTGCATTCTATATGGGGAATTCGTGTAAATGGGCAAATGAGCTACCCAACAACAATCTTCCAACATCAAAACAAAGGTAAATTATTCCTGTATCGTGTGTCTGTCTGTGTGGACAAACTGTCCTCTTCAAACTTGTATGTTATACATTTTTCTTTTCATGGCAGATAGACTGAAGCAACTGAGTGAGAAGGATAAAGTGATGTAGCTAAAACAGTGCTGAAAGTGACCCGTGCACAATATTTGTAAGACCCTTTGAAAAGAATGGTAAATGGCCTGTATTTATATAGCGCTTTACTAGTCCCTAAGGACCCCAAAGCGCTTCACATCTCCAGTCATTCACACATTCACACACTGGTGATGGCAAGTTACATTGTAGCCACAGCCACCCTGGGGCGCACTGACAGAGGAGAGGCTGCCGGACACTGGCACCACCGGGCCCTCTGACCACCACCAGTAGGCAACGGGTGAAGTGTCTTGCCCAAGGACACAACGACGAGACTGTCCAAGCCGGGGCTTGAACCGACAACCTTCCGATTACAAGGCAAACTCCCAACTCTTGAGTCACGATCGCCCCAAGAAGCTGAAAGTCTGCACGTCAATTATGTATTGATTATTTGATAGTGTCTTTGTCACAATCATTATAGAGGGCACTGCATATATGTTCAGAAATTTTCTGGGAGATTTAAGAATGATCACTAATTCATTTTATTCAACACTGCATATTTACTGTTTCCGGTCAACAATGACCAATCACTAGAAATTAATAGTGGAGACAACAATTAGTGTAAATAACTGAGTTCAGGTACATCCTCTTTTGTCAGATGGCCATAAACACACACACACACGCACACACTGGGTTCCCTAGCAACTACACTGGAAATGTTTGCACAATAGAGCCTCACTTCCATGCCAACAACTCCTCTGTTGGCAGCATCATTGTATCCTTGAACTTTTCTCATAGATTTGGTGTAAAATGCTTTTTTGAGGCCTTGCTCAGAGGTCAGTGGGTGTCAGCACCATGACAAGGTGATATATAACCTAAGTGAGGCTCTTTACTACTTATTTGATCACTACACTGGTGAGGACGAGAGATGCCAGGAAACTGACGGTGGGGATGCATTAGAGGAGAAATTGTCTGCATCAGAATATAATCCATGCAATCTAGACCAAGAAATGACTGATGAGGAGGAATCTAATGATGACTAGGATGGCCATGCTGAGGCTGCCATAAGGATCACATCATATAAGGACATACTTTCTTTTATACTTGACTGTAGTAGTTCATTTAAATGTTGATGTTGAATTGTGACTCTTCAGGACTTCCATATTACAGGGACCCTTCAGGATCTCTAAATTATAAGTCATCTTTGCCCACACAACATCGCTTACCTGGTCCATGCACCTGTCCTGATGGCTTTACAGTTCTCAAAGACCAAATCCCAAAAGACCAGTATGAGGAATTAATGCAGCGACGAGCTAAAGAGTTCCAGCAATACAAAGCCAGGTAGAAGATGGATGTATGGGTGCGAGCTTTCCGTGAACTGTTAGACTTACAGTGCAGTAATAAATGAATTAAAATGTGTGTGTGTGTGTGTGTGTGTGTGTGTGTGTGTGTGTGTGTGTGTGTGTGTGTGTGTGGGTGGGTGTCATACTGAGCATTCAAAATTATTTTGTTTAATTTTTTCCTAATCCATCTCCTCAACAGGACTAATTCAATACTATCCAGGCTACTTTTTGCTTTGCCTAACTCTCCTCTGCAGTATCCTATCCAGGGCGTTATAGTACGACCCTTGACTGCAACTGCGATACCAGGTATGTTAAGCTCAACATATGCTTCGGTCACCAATGTTTTAGTTTTTATGTTCCTATAGAAATATAAATACAAATAGAATAGGAAGGCAACAAGGCCATGGTTCACAATTGTTTATGAACATAAGGTTAACATGAAAGTGATCATAGTAGTTTTTATAAAAGTAAGCTGTCAGTAGTCAGATCAAAAACAGCACTGAACAAATACATCTGCAAAGAAGTAGTTATTTGGTGATTCAGAGTCAATTGACTAGGTAAACTTAAGTCATTTAAAAAACAGCTAGAAAAAGCTACATTTCCTGTGAAAATGGCAGGTGAATGCCATGTAGTGGAAATGGTCTTTGAAAAACTGCTGAAGAAGCAGGACTATCTGCTGAAAAGAGGTAAAAAAGCTGAAAGGCCACAGATAGTCAAACCTACGCCCCCCGTTGTCAGGGTGCCTGCTCATCTCAGTGAGCTACAACGGTGCTCATGCCAGCAAGCCAAACCGGTGTGCAGAAGAAACTGCACTGTCTGCTGAAAAAAATGTTACCACGAGAAAGACTGGAATTCACGCCTCCCGCTCTCAGAACGCCTGCTTATCTCAGTGAGCTAAAACACAGCTCACCCCAGCGAGCTAAACCAGCAACCACACTTGTAGTGTGGTCCCAATCATGTTAATGGGACAAAAAATTGCACAAAAAGCGTAATATTTTAAAACTTATAAAAAACTGAGTGAAAGATAGCTGAGGTTTCCTCAAGAACTCACCTTGCAACACTGGTGTAAAGTGAAAAGATGATGTGAATATGTGTATTTGAGTAGAAGGACTAAGTGACACTGAAGGTAGTTTTTATTTCAGGTTTAGCTCTGCATGCTGAAGAAGGAACGAGCTATAAGGTTGGTCTGATATCACAGATTAGAAACAGGCAGATCTCACCCAGATCTCCCTGACTGAATGGTAGAGGTTGGCTGGTTTATAAAAGTTGGCTGCTGAATGTTTGTAAAGTTCAAAGATGTATATGCTTATTTTATTTTATAAAAGGCAATGATGTTCAAAACAATTAAATTGTACTGAAAAGTTAAACATAATTAATTGTCTCTGATCACATCTGAGACTGTCACTAATTTTGATGTACAAATCTGGGGATTTTTGTAAATATTACAAGCAATTATACTTCTTTCTTCTTTGACATGATTTTTTAATCAATGTACAGCAGCCATATTGGGTGACCTTGGGATTTTATAGAGCTTGCTACTGAAAATGCTTTGATTTTGAGAGCCAGTATCATATTCTGAATTTAAGTTCACATTTTCTCATTCTTATGCCAAGAGAATTATATACTATATACCAACTGTCAAAAAATGTATTATTGCATTCATGTATTGCAAACAAGGCTTGGTATACAATCTGCATAGTCAGTATGGGATACAAATAATATCAGGCTGATCCTGCCACAATTTGTTGTCACCCAGAGTGGGCACTCCATCCATTTTTTAGCTGACGTGGCATAGTTTTAAAAAAAAAAACAGCAGGAATCACCTGATTTGTGATACGATATGTATCACATGAGCAACAGATAGTTGTTATAGTTGTTAGTTCATTGGCCTTGAGACTAGACCAGAAGAAATAATGAAGGACATTATTGTACATTGACCAGAGAAATAGGCTAAATTTTGAACCTGGAACAGGGCATGGAGCTATCATTTAGAACAGTTTTTTATGTATAAAATCAGTCTAGCAGTACATTGAAACAGCAATGACCAAAAGGACGACAAGCTTTTATAAATTTTCTTCCATGAGGTTCTCTTTGTACCGAGTGTTGTGGCTGAAGGCTCAAGCTCTTTTTGAGAAAGGTAAAGTCTGGGTGTGATCTTGTTGGATCTGCATCATTCATAAGAGTCACTAAGGTCCACTAAGTCTCCAAGCCTGCACACACGTCCGTTAATTGTGTTTCAAACAAACAAGCTTTATTCACCACATACACAATCATACAGAGTACAACATGCAATGAAATGTTTTGTGTCCAAGCTGCGGACAGGCTGCAGACGTAGCCACGCCATTCCAGGGCTTGGTTTTTAGCATGGGGGGTCTAGCCAGGACCCTTACTGAATACTGGGAGGGAATCAAACTTGTGACTCCCACTCCAAAGGTGTGTAGTCTTACCACTACAATAATAGCTGCCAATTATCAATTACAGCCCCTTTTGGTAGTTGATTTTGAAATTTCTCAAACAGCACAAGCTCACATGATCATGATAGATTTTAACTTTATTAGCCTTTGACATTTGTCTAAAAGCACCCTCTTGCAATCTCTACATAAGTTGGGGTGGCAGGTTTATTTCATATTCCTAAATTTTTACTTTTAAGATTCACGCACTGAAACCTATGCTTGCAGGACAGTGGATTTCACAATATAATTCAAACTGTCCTCAGTTGAAGAAGCTGTGCGTACTTGCGTTTCCCACTATTTTGCAATCTAACAAGACAGACCACACACCCTTTGGGCTGTGTAGTGCACCTGATATGCACTGAATGCTATAAAACTATAGGAACGCTGAAAAATATGTATTTGCATCAGGTTCTCAGGTTCCGTCTCACTTTAAAGCTTTCTTCTGGTTTAAAAAGACAGCTTGAGTGGTGGTGCAGTTTTGTGGAGGTGGTAGTAGTATTGGTATTGCTAAAATTACTTTTAGCAATACCAGTGCTTTTTAGTTTATTCATGTGTTTCTATTCTAGGTTTTCTTAACTGTGTCAAATGGTGTCCTAACCACAGAAACTCCAACTGCAGAGGCCACTGTTCAAGGTGAGTTTCCAAGTCAAAGGAAAATTTATATATACACTGGTACCAAATTAATTGGTTTGGGGTTTTTTCTTTTGTTATTTTTAATTATTGAATATTATTAGCTTGCTTTTTTCTCTTTGTTTCATTGTTTTTTGTTCCTGTGTCCCCAATAGAAGGATCAACACTGTACAGAAAATGTTAATATTTATATAATTATTTTGGATGAAAATTTGAGCAGTGGAAGACTAGTAAAAGCTAGGTGTAAGGCAAACTATATCCCAAGAGTGAACAAGACATTGATACACTGATCCATACCAGTACAGCGTCTACAGCAATTACATTGGAATATCATTCAAACTGGAGAAGTTTATTTGAATGGTAACAAAGAGAGGAAAGATAGTCAGAACTAAGGGGATTGCACTTGTTGATCTGTGGGACCAGCACCCGAATACAGGAAGTTTGATCATATGAGTATTACTTCAGTGCAGAGCTTGGAAGGAGCTAGTAGGTGAGGGGACTCCCCCAGTTCTAATTGCCTCTAATTTCTAAATACCCCAGTACCCCAGCTAAACTGAGAGGACTGAGTAGCCTTGCAGGCCCAGTATGTACCGGTCACAGCTGTTGCAGCAGCGCCCCTCTTGTTCAGTGTTCTTGGAATATGACTGGGTTTAGTTTAGTGGCCTGGAGTGTAAGACTCAAGGTTCTGAGTTCAATTTCTCTAGCCACACCTGATGGCCAGGGCTTTTCCCGTGGAGGCTAGCAGGCCTCAGACCAAAGAAGCTACATGGGTCCAACCACCACCATGGGGGGAGTATACTTGAATCCTCCACCCTCCAACAAGTTTTCTTTCTAGACATTGAGATTTTCTCCAATGAATGAGAAGTTGCTTCTCTATGCCTTTGGGTTGGGGAAAAGGTCCTGACTATCATTCGTCTGTGTGCCAAATGACACTTCAGAGTGCTCAGCCTTCTTGGGGTCATTTGTTGGAGTGCTGGGAAGTGTGCCATCTGGGGATTCCATTGTTCTACTCCATAACTCCACATGGGCAATGATAGCGGGACCTGGAGAGGTGTCATAGGGAGGAATAGGCTGTTATATCTGAATGGAGTTCTGTTACTGGACTTCAGTGTTAACTACAACATAACACCACGATTGAGGGTATTCATAAGTGTATGTGGCACCAGAACACTATGTAGAAGGTTGATGGTCAGTTTTGTAATCGTATTATCAGATCTGTAGCCATAAGTCTTGGACACTCATGTGTAGAGATGAGATGCGCCGCTAGTTGATCACCACCTGGTGATCAGTTGTGGCAGAAAATTCTGGACAGACCTTGTGAGGGTATGCTGCAGGCAGGGGCCATCTTCAATTCCCACTGTAATTCAATTCAATTCAATTTTATTTATATAGCGCCAAATCACAACAAAAGTCGCCTCAAGGCGCTTCATAGATACAGAGAAAAACCCAACAATCATATGACCCCCTATGAGCAAGCACTTTGGCGACAGTGGGAAGGAAAAACTCCCTTTTAACAGGAAGAAACCTCCGGCAGAACCAGGCTCAGGGAGGGGCGGGGCCATCTGCTGCGACCGGTTGGGGCGAGAGAAGGAAGACAGGATAAAGACATGCTGTGGAAGAGAGACAGAGGTTAATAACAGATATGATTCAATGCAGAGAGGTCTGTTAACACATAGTGAGTGAGAAAGGTGACTGGAAAGGAAAAACTCAATGCATCATGGGAATCCCCGGCAGCCTACGTCTATTGCAGCATAACTAAGGGAGGATTCAGGGTCACCTGGTCCAGCCCTAACTATATGCTTTAGCAAAAAGGAAAGTTTGAAGCCTAATCTTGAAAGTAGAGATAGTGTCTGTCTCCCGAATCCAAACTGGAAGCTGGTTCCACAGAAGAGGGGCCTGAAAACTGAAGGCTCTGCCTCCCATTCTACTTTTAAATACTCTAGGAACAACAAGTAGGCCTGCAGAGCGAGAGCGAAGTGCTCTAATAGGGTGATATGGTACTACAAGGTCATTAAGATAAGATGGGGCCTGATTATTCAAGACCTTGTATGTGAGGAGCAGGATTTTGAATTCTGGATTTAACAGGAAGCCAAAACAGGAGAAATCTGCTCTCTCTTTCTAGTCCCTGTCAGGACTCTTGCTGCAGCATTTTGAATTAGCTGAAGGCTTTTCAGGGAGTTTTTTGGACATCCTGATGATAATGAATTACAGTAGTCCAGCCTGGAAGTAATAGCTGTAGAAGACGCATGGCAGATCCTACCACATTGTCACACTTTCAAACACTTCTTTATTCTGTTGGCGTTTGTTTTACACTTGGCTGCAGCTTTTCACCTGCCAGCCACACATACACAATAACAACACTCAGGCCCCAGTTCACTCTTTTATGGAGAGAGGCGTGATGATCTCATGCAGCTCAGGTGTGTTTTCCTCCACCGCAGTGTGCCACGAACCACGCCCCATCACACCTCAACTGCACTCTGAGGGAGGCTGGGAACAGTAAATCTGAGTGGATCATGTGCTGCATTTCTAAATTTCTAAACAATGGGCTGCGGCTTGTAGAACCTGTGGGACTCCAGAGGCAACTGACAGGTTGCAGGCTAAGCAAAGTACAGTTGTGGGTCTTATGTGGCTGATTCAAAAATGTAGGGGTGGAGTTCATTGAGACCATGGAAGAAGAACTTTTTCTTTTTCTAAATTTATATAAATTATTTGCTAAAACCAGAACACAATATTGTGGTCTAATGGAATACATGTTTGGTGTTTGGAAGAATTGTTTCCAGTGCCTTCACAAAACACTTTATTATGTTTAGAAAACAAATGGTAACACAACTCAAGTGCGGGACTCAGGCAAAACAACAAGGCAGAAGAAGTAGTTAAAGACTTAAAGATATTTACAAATAATTTAAACTGGGGTGAGTAACTAATTCGACTTAAACAAACACAAAACACATGAGTGATCTTTTACGTGGGCAAGAGTCTTGACTAAACACAAATATCAGATTAACTTGAGTGAGACACTGTGTCAAGAGATGTATTCTAAAACACTTCAACTGAGAATCAGAGAGGCGAAACACACAGTTTTACTTGCATCAAGGACAGCCACAGAGCACCTGCACGAGAGTGAGAGCTCAGGGACTCGTGCTCCGCCACTGCCCTGGTCTTTATTTATAGACATCAGTGGGTGTTGGTTCCTTACATTGGAATGTGGATGGAGAGCTGCACTGGTCCTTTTGAACAGTTGTTGATTGCACTGCTGACTCACACATTAAGGTCAATGAAGGTCAAATGAAGGGTTTTCATGTACTCAGCCTAAAGTGTGTCTGATCCTTCCACTGTCTAGGTGGTGATTATCTCTTATGTTCTACAAAGGTTGCTGGCTCTCCATTATTCCTGTCAGTAATACATTAAACTAGCCGTTATTACTTTTTTTTTTAGATTTTTATAATTTTTTTCCTGTAACATGTGTAAAATAAAAATTGTAATCTCAAAAGACTGAATTCATAAAAGAGTAATGTGATAAAATTTAGAAGACAAAGACATATACATGTGTTCTTTTTCTTACAAGGTATCTTGACACTTTTTTAAAAGCACTACCCTGCAACCCTACCCTTTTTTATTACATCTTTTTATATTATGATGGTTTTCCCTTGGACTTGCCTCCATAGCTCCATACAATTTTAGTCATCGTGTCTCCTCAATCAGCGTAGTATTGGTGGTTTTACATGAATCTTATTTGGTAAAGTTCAGGGCTTCATATTGTTGTTGTCAATTATCAGTAACTAATTAATTTTGGCTGGGCTAGCGTGGTAGTTAACACTGTTGCCTCACAGCAAGAAGGGCCTGAATTCATCTTCACCATCTACTGTATATTTGTGTGGAGTGTGCATGCTCTCTCTGTGTTTGCACTGGTTCTCTTGTCTACTCTGGCTTCCTCCCAGAATCCAAACACATGCAGTGGTTGAGGTTAGGTTAGTTGGTTATTCTTAACTGCCTGTGAATGTGAGTGTCAATGGTTGTCTGTATGTGTTAGACCTGCGACTGACTGGCGACCCACCCCGACCTCCCAATAAGGATAAGCGCAAGAGAATGGATGGGCGAATAATTTAATTAGGAAAGACACTTTCCTAATTAGCCAGAATAAATTACTTTGAATTAAAGACTACTCCTATTATATTATAAGCCCTTTCTGAGAAATGACGAGCAGTATTATATTACTTTAAAATTGTCTGGTTTTAATTCACAGGTTCTGGAGAGACGAAACTGATTATTGAGTCTAGCAGCCTGTTGGTCCTCAATGACCTGCTGGCCAAAGTGTCCTATACCAGCACCATCTACCACATAAACACTGGAGACCTTGGTATGTGTCAGAAATGTGAAGAGCTATAAACACCCATTTTTAAATGACAATTGAATTTGCAAAATAATGTGCATTTTACACATGATCATTAATGCATGTTTAAAATAACTGTGAAAGAAAAAGTGAGTCCCCCTTGTTCTGAACCTAAACTTTTTTTTTTTGTTTAGTCACCTTCCAGTTTGAAAACTATGAAGCCGTGTTTCCCATTACCATCCAGCAGCCTCATGTACCAGTCCTGTATGACATGGGAACAGGTAGAAGTGAATTCTTGATCAGGGCTTAATATTCATTTAAATATTGTTGGAAAATGCTTCTTTAATATATTAATTGCATGCTGTTAAGAGCATTAACACCATCCAAAGAACATTATGTTGATGCAAAATCATTATTTCCTTCAGTTACTGTCATTTTCTCATTATCTTACCTTTCTCAGAAAAACAATCTTAAGCCTCTTCTTCTTCACTCCTAGATGTTTCCACATTAGGAAGTATCTTAAACACTATGCTTTGTTAAAAACTAGTAACTGATTAGTTAATAAATATCACCAAGAAGACACAATAGTATAATATAGTTTGAGCAATCTTCTGGATATGGGTATCCTATACCAAGCCTATATCATAAATCCATTCTTAAAGTGAGGTGTTTGCAGACATCATAGCATGGTGTGGTAGAACTATTTCGACCAGCTGACATGGGTCTTTGTCAAGATTTTCAATCAGTCCCTATCATATCCCACCAACTCACCCTGCCTGAAATCCATCATAGTCCATCTGCATAAAAAAAAAAAAAAACTTGCCTCAATGTCTACCAGCCATCAACACTGACTAAACTCAACTGGTTATGAAGTGGTTCAAGAAATTGGTCCAGAGTAATATTATGTCATTCATTTCCTTCACGTTTGATGCACACACATTTTCTTACAGGGCAAATAAGTACACCGAGGACTGTAGCACTTGCATTTTCACTGTCGCTGCATTGTCATATCTGAAGAAGCAGATAAGCATGGATGCATGGCTGCTCAACTTTAGCTCTGCTTCTAATAACACCACCCTCTGTCACCAACTATTATTTAAACTGCATGCTGTTGGATAAAACACTTTTTGATGAATCATACTCAGAGGGTTATATATGATCCCCTCCTCTCCACCCATGGTTGCACGCCCATTCACCATAGTAACACCATTGTTAAGTTCACTGACGACACCATGGTGGTGGAACTTGTGTTTGGCAGTGTTGTGCAGAGACAACCTGTTTCTTAATCCAACAAAGACAAAAGAGCTCTTTGTGTTTGTTGGATTTTAGGAAGAATGAAAAGGTAACTCAGACATTACTCATTAACAGGGACTTGGAAAGTGTTTCAGACTTTTGTGGACTAACACATTAGCCTGTCTTCATCAACACAGTAGTGAAGAAAGCCCAACAGAGATTGCTCATGAAAAAATCCACTGATGCAATATTTTCAACACAGGGATTGGTATCAATGTTTGCTAAATGTCTATTGTTTTATTAGGCTTATCTTTTATATTTCTTTGTATTCATTTAGTTTACACTTTATTTATATCCTTCCTATCACAATAAAGTGCTGTGATGTGTACCTAAATTTTGCCGGAGTGGATAACAACTTACAGCACAGACTAAGTTTAAGTTTAAGAGGGCTTGCAGTTACAATATTCCTGTGACATACATTTAATTTCAGTTTCAGTTTTATTTGTCATATGCAAGTTAGCACAGGGTCAACATTGCAATGAAATGTATTTGACGAGCAGTAGACAGTCACTCAGCAGTATAGTGAGTCAAAAATAGTAAGAGCAAAATGTTTATAAGATATAGTAAAAAGATAAAGATACATGTATATACATGT